GGGTCGCCCCGAGTGTCGGGGTCCGAGCTTCACCCCGAGGCTGCGGGCCCTGCGCAGCTCCCACCCCGGAGAAGCCCGCGGGGATTTGGATCCGGTTTTACTTTCAGTTTGGGTTCAATTCCTGGTAGTGGGAAGGGCGGGGAGGACGAGACTGACCTCGGGGCGGGTCAGGGTCTCACACCCTCCAGTTGATGTTGGGCTGTGACCTGGGACCGGACGGCCGCCTCCTCCGCGGTTACCACCAGTACGCTTACGATGGCACCGACTACATCGCCCTGAACGAGGACCTGCGCTCCTGGACCGCGGCCGACACCGCGGCTCAGATCACCCGGCGCAAGTGGGAGGCAAGTGATGAGGCTGAGGAAAGGAGACACTACCTGGAGGAGGAGTGCACGGAGTTGCTCAGGAGATTCCTGGAGATGGGGAAGGAGGCGCTGCAGCGCACAGGTACCAGGGGGCTGGGGCCTCCCTCACCTTCAAGTAAATGAGCGGGCTGGCAGCTGGTTGCCCTAGGGCCCTGTCAGACCCACTCTCATCTGGAAAAGACCCCCCCACCAGTCTCCATCTGCATGGGCTGGAGCCCCCCCTCGACTCTGCTTGGTTCCCCAGACACCAGCAGTAGCCTGATGGTTCTCTGATCATCAGGCGAGAGGCTGTGAAAGATGGTGGCTTCTACGCCTGTGTCCCCTTCAATGGTCAGGACCGAGACCAGCGACTCCGGCTCAACAAGGAGACAGGACACAGGATCAGTGTCAGACCCCCCTCCTGTGGGCCAGGAGATTGAGTCCGCCTGGCTTTTCAGATCCAGTGACAGCCTCCCTTCTCTCAGGGACACCTAGGGGTGCAGTCCCTCAGGGACAATTAGAGGGGAGACCAAGCCTGAAGTAACTGAGCAGCGGTTCCCATTGGCCCTGCAGTGGCTCTGGGACCCATGGGGGACGTGCTCTCTCAGGCCCTGCTCCCTGCCCCTCACCCAGTGTATCTGAGGTCTGACACCGACTTTTCTGAGTCCTTTGGCCTCCACCCAGGTCAGGACCAGAAATCCCTTTCTCCCCCTGAGACCTGCCTCCTGCCCTGGGCTGTGTCACTCTGACTAGAACTTTCTAAAGAGGAGAGGTCATCCCCAGATGCTCTGTCCAGGCTGGTGGTGCTTGTGTGCTCCCTCGCCCACCCCAGGTGCCCTGTCCACGCTCAGGTGGTCACATGAGGGCTGCTGGAGGGTCCCCTGACAGTGCCAAGTCCCTGAATTTCCTCCCCCTTCTCCTCAGACCCTCCAAAGACACACGTGACCCACCACCCCATCTCTGACCGTGAGGTCACCCTGAGGTGCTGGGCCCTGGGCTTCTACCCTGCGGACATCAGCCTGAGCTGGCAGCGTGATGGGGAGGAGCAGACCCAGGACATGGAGCTGGTGGAGACCAGGCCTGCGGGGGATGGGACCTTCCAGAAGTGGGCGGCCCTGGTGGTGCCTCCTGGAGAGGAGCAGAGATACACGTGCCATGTGCAGCACGAGGGGCTGCCCGAGCCCCTGACCCTGAGATGGGGTGAGGAGGGGCCTGGGCACAGAGCCTCTTCTCAGGGAAGCAGGGGCCTGTGGAGGACTTCAGTGGGGTCGGGGCTGAGGCCTGGGGGTCAGGGCCCTCACCTCCCCTTCCCTTCCCAGAGCCGCCTCCTCGGGCCACCATCCCCGCTGTGGGTCTCGTGGGCCTGGTCATCCTTGGAGCTGTGCTCAATATAGCTGTGGTCACTGGAGCTGTGGTCACTGGAGCTGTGATGATGAGGAGGAGGAAGCGCTTAGGTAGGGAAGGGGTGGGGCCTGAGTTTCTTGTCTCACTGGGGGTTGCAAGCCCAGGTAGAAGTGTGTTCTGTTTCATTAATGGCAAGTACCATCCCCACACGTGTGGTTGTCCATGTGGGGCCCTATTTGCTGACACTCACTCTTTAGTAAGACACGTGTGGAAATGAGGGACAGATTCATCACCTGATGATTCTAGTGATGGGGCCTGGTTCCCAGCACTCCCAGGTCAGGGTGGAAGGTCCCTGCTGAGGACAGACCTCTGGGAGGGTGGTTGGTCCATTCCCCACACGTGTAGTTTCCTGATCCTGCCCTGGGTCTGTAGTCACAGTTCTGGAAACTTCTCTGGGCTCCAGGACTAAGAATTCATTTAGGACCTCATGACCCTGCCTCCTCCCTGTCTTCTCACAGGATGTTTTCTTCCCACAGGTGGAAAAGGAGGGAGCTACCATACTCACGCTGCCAGTGAGTATGGAGGGGTGACCCCTGAGACCATGTGATAGTGCATAGGGGAGCCTATGGGCGACCTCACCCCCATAGTTCCTCCTTTCCCCTCTCCTTGGGGCTCTGACCCCGTCCTGTTTTGTTCTACCTCAGGCAGCAATGGTGCCCAGGGCTCTGATGAATCTCTCTGCTTCTAAATGTGAAACCCTGATATAAAGAGGGGTTGGGACAATGAGGACAGGTCTGGGTGATGGGGATTCTTTGGGATATAGTGAGCCTGTATGGGTTGTTGAGAATATCACCACTGACAGCCACAGAGCTGAATATTTCATGATCATTTTCTTCCACAGAATTCGGCATGTTCATTGTCGGGGACTGAGTGATGGAAGATTTATTCACACTCCCACTCTGTGACTCACCACACCACTCCCCACACTTCCCCATTAGAGCAGAGGCAGTGCTGGGCCCTCCCCATCCCTGTCTTTACTTCCTGGTGTGTTGGACTGCAACTTCTCACTTCCTTATTGAAATAAGAATGTATATGAGATTTCCACCCCCCCACCCCCGCCCCACTTTTTGCCATGAAGGGCTGATGGATTCATCAAAGGAGAAAAACCTGGCTGGTGTTGCCCACTGGTTGAGCATCCAACCATGAACCAAGAGGTCATGATTGGATTCCCTGTTAGGGCACATGCCTGGGTTTCAGCTTGGTTCCTAGTAGGGGGTGTGCACGAGGCAGGTGATGGATGATTCTCCTTAATCATTGATGTTTCTATCTGTCTCTCCCTATTCCTTCCTTTCTCTGAAAATCAATAAAAACATGTTTTAAAAAAATTAAAGAAGACCCTAAAATTTGTGAGCACCGAGTACTTGTCAGATCCCGTGCATTTGCTGTGCTGAGTCTGTTACATGTGGGGACAGGATTGTCTGTGAGAAGCAAGTGTGGTCGGGGCTGTGCCCAGTGCATCCTGGCTTTGGTTACTCTTTGGCTGGGACACCTCTCTGCTCCTTTGTCCTTCTCTCTTCAGTAGAACCTTGTCAGACCAGGACCTGCCTTCACAGGGACTCAAACATCACCAGTCCTTGTAAATCGTCCTAATAAAGAACATCTCCAGGACCATGGGCAGCGAGGGCTTCGCTTGTTCATCGGATTGGCAGTTGGACAGACAATTCTGGGGATGAGGAGAGATGTCAGAAGGAGAAACACACTTGGGTGGTGAGACATAAATGACATTTAAAGCCTTGAGGACGGACGAGGCCACCAAGGGACTGATGGCAACAGAAGACCAAGGAAGGACTGAACCTAGGACCCAGTGCTGAGCCATCTGTTCAGACCACACACCAGAACCAGCTGTGCAGTTCTGTCTCCGGGTCTAGAAGGCACAGGGACCACAGAGCCCCCAACATTCCTGTGCCCAGGAACCACCTGAACCTCTTGTTGGCACAGGACGTCTGGAGCAGAGTGTGAGAGGCTGTCTCTATCCCAAGGTGCTGATGCTGCTGGTCTTCAGATCCCACATTGAGCAGCGAGAACCCAGACCAGGATCCCCGTGTCTGTGTGTCAGCCTCGGCAGGGTGTTGTTACACGGGTGGTTCCTGTCTGTGCCTAATTCTCTGGGTCTGTGGGTCTGGGAGAGGCTGGGGGTTTTCTAAGAAGCTCACAAGCAATCCTGGGGCTCAGCCAGCCTGGGAACCACTGAGGCCAGTGCCAGAGCTCAGGGTGGGGAGGGGTTTTACATCCACATTTAAAGGTTTCATTTTTCCTTAGAAAGAGAAGGGAGGACATTTATCACCAGATATGAGCTATAATTGTTGGGAGTTACTTGTAGTTTTCTCTGCCATGGGGTAGAGTCAGGTGGAAGATTTAGGACATGGGTTACCATAATAACACCTCTGAAGGCTTGCTCTCTGAAACTGTTCTCCAGATACAGTTCTTGGAGCAAACAATGGAATCCCAATCTATTCTAATTTATCTATCTATCTATCTATCTATCTATCTCTCTATCTATCTATCATCTATCTAGCATGTCTATTTCTGTATCATCTATATCTATATCACCTCTATCTACTACCTATCATCTATCTTTGGTTCTGTTTCTCTGGAGAATCCTGACTAACACACGATGTAATATATGATAAACTGTTATCAATAATAATACCTACAATACAAGATAAATAAAATGAGATAAGAAAAACTGAAATTTTGGTCGGGTTGTATAAAGTCAACATAGATTACTTATTTGAAATGCTAGTCAGTTTTCTAATTACTCTAATATAGAGTTGTGAATCTCTAACATTATGTGTCAGATTATAAATTGCATTTGAATAAAAAGCAAACTTTATAAATTTTACCAAATTTACTAGTCATGTGGTTATGATTCGCTAGCCACAATTTAAAATAAATATATAGAAAGCATTGCATTCAGCCTTATATTTTTAACACAGGGCAAAGTATGAGTTGAACTGTATATTTTTTCATTAATATGAGTTCACTCCTTTTTCAATTTAGGTTTCAGTAAAATGACCTAACTTGTCTTATTGTATTGTTTTATTTCAGATAACCTATTATATAAACCATATCCTATTAAGCACAACTTTTTACAACATGGACTATATTTCATCTTACAAGAAATGATGTGGTACTAATGCATGTTAGGCATTGTGTTGGATTCAACCAGCTCCTGGAAAGACAAAGGCAGGAGTGCCCTGGAGTGAAAGACCTTACAATGGAATATGTCTCATCTTTAAAACATCTTTCTTTGAAAAAACTCAAAGTGCTTTATTCTAATTTTGCATCATGGTTAGAGTTTGACTGACAGTTTAGAGAAGGACCTAGAGACATTATTAATAATAAAATAGTTTTTTCTTTATTCAGTTTTTATCAGGTGTTAGGCATGAGGCTAAATAGTTTTCATTTATTATGACAAAAACACATGCTCATAACAGCAGTATGAGTTGGGTTACTTTGTAATCACCATTTTAAATATGAAATTAATATTTTTAATTTATAATGATGCAATAACTTCATACAAAGTCTAAGTGACTCAGGGCTCAAAAACAACATAAATAAGTTTAGAAACTCCATACATCCATTATTCTAAACAGCTGCTTACAATTATTTCTACTTCCTTGTGTTCACCTGGTAGATATCTCCTTTTTAATTCTTATGTTTAAATATTAATAGACCATTTTAATATATGCAAAAATTACTTTAAGAAATGTATGCCACTTTCATATATTTCAAAATTGTGTATGAACATGACAATATATGTTTAATTTCTAGAATTCAGAGATGAGTGATTTTTAAAAGTCCAATAAAATTTCGAGGTGTGAAAACTTGAGCCTTGCGAAAAATTTCCCTCCTTTGTCTTAATTTATTTCATTTTTGTCTCTTGTTCTTTTAGATATTTAGTCCTACCTATCCTAGCATTTACTTAGCTGCAAAATATATAATTAAAGCCTAAGTCTTAATCATTACATTATTACTTAAGTGCTGAGTGGAGTCTGCAGCAAGCAAGCTCCCTGCTCGCTTCAGTGCCTGGCTGCCGGCCGCCATCTTGGCTTACAGTTAATTTGCATATACTCACTGATTAGCCAATGAAAAGGGTAGTGGTCGTACGCCAATTACCATGTTTCTCTTTTATTAGTGTAGATTGAACTCTAATAATATTTTAGGGAAAACCACAGGCTTCAGGTCACACAGCCCAGAAACTGATCCACATTCAGCCCAGGTTGGGCCCCACACAGGAGCCACTGCCCTGCTGCTGGGCACCGATGCCACTGCTCACACCACTGACCCCGGATGCTGGACCCTGGGCCCTGTGCTAGGTCTGCCACCTCCGCTGCTCCTGGCACCTGACACTGTTACTGCCACTCCTGGCACCCTTGCCAAATGCAGCCTGCACAGTCCCAGCCTCTGCATCACCACGTCCCGAGTCAGGACAACAGGCGCCTCGGGATGTGTCCAGATGCACGAATTTTGGGGGATGTGGGTTTTCCTTTTTTATGGAGGTACGTGGTCTCTGCTTCCCACCAAGTCTCTTTATGTATTGAATTCTCATGTAGGAAGAGAATTCAGGTGCTGGGGTGAGAGACGGATAAGGATGAAAATTTTCAAACTTGGAGCAAAGTTCTAAGACTGGAAGGTCGGTACTTTGTAGGCACTTAGGTTTGGCTGGAAGAACAAGTGGCCAATAGATGACATCCCTTCCAGAGGGCTACTTGCTTGCTCTGACTCTGAATTTCTTTGTGGGATGGTGAGAGATTTTTTTTCATTGAGTTCTCTCATTCGGGGACACCGGCAGTTTCCGACAATTCAACTCAATTCTGAGGAGAACTACCCAGAGTTTGCATCAGACCCCACATTCTCAGGGCTCTGTCCCATGAGACTGCCCTCACTTCTGATAAAGGTTTGAGGTTCAAGCCCCTTGTTACCTGTCCTTCTGTCTGACTCTTCTACAAAGTTCATTAATTTGCTAAAGCAACTCCTAGAACTCTGGAAAATGCTGTGCTTACTGTTCAGTTTATTATAACAGGTACAAGTGAGCAGCCAGAGAAAGAGGTACCTGGGCCAGGTGGGGAAGGGTCCCGAGTGCAGGAGCCTCCGTCACCATGGAGCTGGAATGTGTCACCCCTTCCTCCAGCATGTGGATGTGTTCACTCGATCAGCAGCTCCCTGAACCCCATTGTTAAGGGCTTTTGATGGAACTTTCACTCCGTAGATCTGATTGATTAAATCATTGAATCAGAATGCCAGCCGTTCTCCCCAGAGGTTAGGAGTGAAGCTGAAAGTTCCAGCCCTGTGATCAAGCTTGTTCTTTCTGGTGGCCAGTCCCAGCCTGAAGCTACCCAGGACCCTCAGCCAAGAGCCATGTCATTAGCGTCCCAAAGACACTGCTGTCACTCAGGAGATCCCAAGAGATTTAGGAGCTCTGTGTCAGGAACCAGGGGCAAAGATCAAATATTTTCTATTATAATGAAGATCTTTGACTGCACATCCATTCATAACAAAAGGATCCTAGTAGTTAAAAGATGCTGGCACATTACTAGAGTACCATTCAGTCATTAACAATTAGACCAGTTCATCTTGTTAATGATATATACATGGCCAATATATTTGCGAAAATTGTCCAACATTTTTAGTCAGAGCGCAAATTCAAATTTGGTCATAATCTGCTTTCACTGCACACTCCCAGAATGGCTAAAATTAAAAAGTCAGAAAAAATCGGCTATTCGCTGTCGGGATCCTCGGGTCCGTCGGTGCCTGGCCCGATCTCCGATCGGGAGAGGGAATGAGTTGCTGCCACTGCGCTGGGAGGGGCGGTGCGCTTTGACGGGCGGTGCCCTGTGAGGGGGCGGTGAGCTG